TTGACAAATAAGCGCGTATCCGTCCGCCTACCGCTGAATGCAAGCGCGCGGCGAGATACGACCGCCCCACCGCTGGTAGTTGCTAGCCGATAGTTGACGAGTGGTAGGACAATTGTATCTCGCCGCGCGCCTGCATTCAGCGGTATGGCGGACGGATATGCGTTTATTCGCCGATCTTTCTAAATTAATATCTCGTTAACGATTGCGAATTTTGCAAAATGGTAGAGGACTTTTCGATCCAGTTTAATCTGCTTTACCAGCCCACAAGATATTATCCGGTTATTACCGGACACCCTGTATATATATGTGTGTGTGTGTGTGTGTGCGCGTGTGCGTGTGTGTGTGTATTTTTCCTTAATTATCTTTCTACAAATGTGAAAGATAACGGTACTTCTAGCACTAGGTATTTTCTTATCGAATAATGAATATTTGATTTGGTATGGAAAATGAAAGTACAAAACTACCTGTGATATTTGGAACATATATGTATTATTATGTTACCGTTAAGTCATAATTCTTGGACATCAAATGTTTAACATAGGAGAAATTCATTTTCGTCAATCTCACAGCAATATCGATACATATATTAGTGAATTTCTGAATAAGTGTGATCAAGGCTTTGTAAATAAATGTCGCAGAACGCAAAGTGTATACGGCAGCAAGATGGCTTGCTAATAAATCTCTAATATTTTCTAACTCGTTAGTTCGGAGTTTAGTGAAGCGCAATTAATTCTTCACAAGAATCTTTCTTCTGCTGAAAGCACTCGCTTTGCTTTTTTTTTTTTTATTATTATTCTCGGACATTCTTTCCATTAAATTCGAAATAAATATTTAGAGATATCGATATGACAACATAGAGCGTGCACAAGGCGAGAAGGAAACGTTCTCTTCGTGACGGTACGCGATACCAGAAGACCGGATCGACGTTGATTTCATTTATTATTACGATTCGCTTTAACGCGTCAACGTCGTGCGGAGCGGTTTGATTAAACGCGAGTACATTTTTTTTTTTCTTTTACAATCACTTAGGAAGTACTCTAGGAGGAAGTCTCTAGGTACACGTGCCCGTTCCTTGCCAAAACGATACGTTCGTTCGTTCGTTCCTACCGGTTCGGCGCGCGACAGCGAAGCCGCGTGTTTACTCTGGGAATGAAGTAAATAGTTCTCAGTCTTCAAAATTACTTTATTGTACCAAAATAAAGTCGTTAAAGAGTTAATTACGATCTCGCGGAAATCGCTCAATATGAAATCGTAATACATCATCTGTGTGTGTTGGTATATAGCTGGTAAGATGCTTATAGAACTGAAATTATCCAAGTCGGGTATTTTCGTGCGCCATACAGCGGCGTTAAAATGCCATAACTCTCTTACGAACTTTATTTATAACATCCTAAAAGTTCGGACACCTTAATTTGTACTTTATGTGAGGATATCTTGGTTACGATAGACCTTGCTAACCGATTTTTAGTGTAGTTAGAACCATGCCGTGTCCTCTCGGAGATTAAGTCGAGCGGCCGTATTCTCTTCTGGAGAAGAAAGAGAAGAGGAGAGAAAGAGAGAGAATGATAGAGAAAAACAGAGCAAGAGAGAGAGAGAGAGAAAGGGGGGAGGGGGAGAAAGAGAGAAAGAGGAGGAAACAGAACGAGATAGAGAAAAAAGAGGAAAGGGGAGAATAAGAGTAAGAGAGAGAGAGAGAGACGGTTCATCTTAACATTCCCCTGAGTTTGATTTCAATATGAACGTCTCTATGCGCCAAACATAGAGAGAAAACAGTTTCCGGAAAATAGATTAATGTAGGAGAAAAAGATATCGATGAATATATAAAGAAGTAGACGTATCAGACTTGTGGTTTTATGTACAGCTTGGAGATTCATCGTCAACAAAGAAGGGGATTAGCGTCCTCTCGCCCATCGTAGTATGGCGTCCGCTAATACATCCAGATGCGCTTTCGTCTGAAACATATCGGAATACGATTGTATTATCTGTCAAACTTGGCGTTTCGCGCGGAAAAAAGGAGAATGAAAATTATGCCCTTTCATCTACGCGTTGTTCGACTACCGACTAATAATTGAAACGTATGATCTTCATGCAGTACAATTTGTCTTCATGCTAAATCCGCGGATATTCGAATATCAGATAAATTTTTAATTTGCACCAACGCGAATTATTCAATCTTTTTTTTTATCTTTTTATTAATTTTGAGCATTACCGTTTTATAAAGATAAAAGATATACGTATTTTCTTTTTTTATCTGGAGTAATGTCAATAGTATTAGTTTATCTAGGGACGTCCGTTCTATTTTTTTTCCTGCCACACTGATAGCATCCCCTTGACGCGGGAATGCTGAAGGGGAAATTGGGTAACGTGAATTTATCGACGTGTAGGCTATTTTCCACACGTGCAGGCAGATGGTGTGTGAATTATCAAAAAGATTGTTGCCGTATTTTGCTCCGAATCTCCCCGGAAAATGCTACCGGCGAGTCAGAAAACGGGCTCTTGATGTTACACCCACGGTTAGCGCAAACACACGCTTCCATTTTCTTTTGAACTTTATAACGAAAGTCACTTTAAAAGTTCAGCCAAGTTTTACATAGAATATAAAATACATATAGCCACACGTATCTTTTTAGCCTTAACCAGCTGATGAAAATTTAAATGGAATTCTCGTGCAAAGACTTCTTTCTAAATTTATTTGGGTTTCGTTAACGGAGGGGAGAGATATACGACGTTATTTCCAAGTTTAAGGCAAAAAAAAATATCGCTTTGTTCAATTTTTTTTCATGAAACGACTCAGAACTCTTTCGTATTGGGGATATACGTAGAAATATATAGAGGTCTAAATGGATGTGTGTATGTGTGTATAAAGTAGACAGAAATTATCACATAATTTTACTCACGGTTTTGTAAAACATGCAAGCTTGCCGATCCTCGTCCTCGCCTGTGGGACAGTCTATGAAGCCGTCGCACAGGACATGATCGTCGATGCAATGATATCTACCCATTCTGTCCGCGGTCGGGCAAGCGAATCTTTCCATTCCATCTTCGGAGACTGGGCATTCTGTAAGCAGGATCGCAAAAATCCTTTTTCAATCCGTTTGGACGAAGCTGGCGATTAGATAGAGGTATTACGGATACAGGTATTTATGCATATAAACATTAACGTTACCCGATATCTCGGCCAAATCGGAAAAACCTCGCGCGAGAGGTGAAGCGTGGAAATAAAATAAAATAAAATAACGTAGGAAAAGCAAGTATCATCTTTCCTACATAAAAACGTTCGGGTTTCTATATGAAATTTATATTATTTCGGTTATCGCTTTTTACTTTGTCTCTTTTTTTTCCATTGACTGCGAGCGTTTTCGCTATTTCTGGCTTCTGCGGTTTATCGAAATAAACACTTCTTTCGTTATTATTTAAAATATCGATTAATCGGATCAGTCATCAGGCCGCGTATTGAATTTTCCGCTCTATAATTACGACAATGTAAATTTAATCGGCGTTAATCGACATAGTTATCTAAATGTACATTTAAATGCTCGATATTTTCGCCGCACGTTCCTTCCTATTACATGTAGCTGACTGATTCTCTGTATTATTTGCACAGCAATGACGATCTGTCTCAAAAGCCCGTACGCTCGGTGCGCGCTAAATGTGGTTAGCACACAGTTTCTCTGTACTACTACTTGCTTAATACGAAGATCTCATTCGAAGCGCGTAGGACGAGTCTTAGGCAGTAATAAATGTAATACCAAATATGTACGATGGAAGATATGGGTCGACGAGTGTAAATTTCGATGTTAAGCTCATTATTGCGATTATTATCGCAATAACAAAACGGACGTCCGTGTAGCATTTTACATTGTGTGACCTATCGCTTTATATATCATGAACCCGAACAGATCAGCACATGATAAAAACAACGCTTGAACGCACTTCGTTTCACGTTTTTATAAACGTAAAACGTGTGTCTCTCTTTACAAAGTGGGTCTGGCATTTTGAGGAAACTTTCAATGAAAAGATTCCCCGCATTCCGCACGCTTCTCACGTTTTAAATTTCTCAATACCGTCTATACGACCCGGAGGATGTTTACTGGCATACCCTATTCCACGCCATCCTCTTGTCGCGGATTCGCCCCGTCGGCGCTCTTCGATCAATAAATTTGGGAGGGACGACGGGCACGCTCATGCGACAGCGTTTCGTCACTTTTTCTTTATTTGCAAAAGCGCTTTGTCTGTATTTCTCACTCGTGGACGCATTTCATTTGGATTTATAACCTGTTCTGCTCGTGTAACTCATACATATATCCATATCATAACGCACTCATTCGACACATATTTTTCAAAAAACTAGAACAACTTTTATATTTTTATATTATTCGAATACAGATTTTATGGAAAATCGACATTTACGAGGAACGCACATATACAATTTCAATGAACACTCTTGTTTTAATGTTTAAATGTTTTAAATATCACGATTAAATTTATTTTTTGGTGAACATAGGTATATATGTATATATATATGTATATATATATATATATATATATATATATATATATATCAATTCAATTTATATTATCTAAGTTTCTCTTTTAAAATTTTTCGTCCAAAATGATTGAAACATAGGTAAATTAAAAAAATTTAATTTCGTGGAGCTGCGAAATTTTAGCGTATTTGAAGTCAAAGACTTTTTCTTGGACTATTTTTCTCTTGGATCTTTATCTATTTGATTTAATTTGCACAAGAAGTAACAAAGACTTAAATTAAATGAATTAATTTGTTTTACAAAATATTCTAATTCATCTCTATTCGACATTCGATTCAACTTTCTATTCAGCATTCAGAGCTACATTAATAAGTGATTGGAATGTTAAAAATGAAGAGCGACGAAAAGTAATCAAATAATTGGAAATCTCATCTCTTACTTTATAAATTATTACATTTATTATATTATCTACTCTAGTATTTCATAAAAATAAAACTTTTAATCCATACATTTTTTTGCAAAGAGATGGAAAAAATGAGAAAAAGGATTATGAGATACGTTTTGTATATGAAAAAAAATTCGCTCCCATCGTTATGAGGAAATTTGGCATTTAAGGTTATCGAAATATTTAAAATGGATTAACGCGTATCTCTATAACTGATCGTACATTAGATATCTTGATGTGTGTCGACGTTCATTAAATAAAAGCTTAATCAGATTGATTTTTTTTAGGACATTTCTTTGCCTACAATTACTCACGAAATTGATCAAACATTTAAAAAATCCTATATCTATAAGAGAAAAGGACAAAAGAAAAGAAAACAATAGGCATAGTAAAACGAATTTTTATAGTTAATATACTATCAAAAAAATAATATATATTATTTCCGTTATTAGTGTTTCTAAAATTTTTGAAATTTTTTAAGTACTTGATCAGTCTCGTGAATCAACTAGACATTTTCGCGGGCTACTCGCGAGTATCTACGTACAACGAGGGGGTACCACTTACCGATCTGCGGCACGTCGTATTGAATGCTTCCCCGGATTGATCTCAGCATGAGCTGCGAGGCGATGCTCGCGCCGGCGGACGACGTCGAGGACGCCGAGGACGCTTGAGCCTGGTGTCCCGGGGATTCTCCCTGCGCGTCGATCGAACGCCGTCCGATCGTTATCTGGCTCCGCTTGCTTCCAGGTAGCTTGTTTCCGCTAGTCTCGTAAGCGAAGGCCTTCGGTACGAAGCCGCCGTTCGTAGGTAAGTTAAGCGGGGTGCCGCTCTCGGCGCGCGCGAGATCAGTCTTCGTACTCGTCGCAGTGTTAAATCTCTGCTCCGCGTAGAGATCGTCGTGATTCGATTGTCTTGATTCCTGAAGGGTGGTAGCCTTCTTGCCAGCTTCGTCGCACACCAGGATCGGTAGACTGAGCGGGCCCCTCAGCGGGTGCCGGCATCCGATGCGCCGCTTCTTCGGGCGCTGATGGGCCTGCCGGCCGCCGAGCATTTGATTGCCATCGTCGTGAACGTAGGGCTCCGCGATGTGGGGCTGCGTCGCGGCTGCGTGCGGCTGCGACGTCACGTACTCGGAGTAGAGGACGTTCAGCACGGCGGGCGACAGGGCGAAGAACACGTTCTGGAGCTCCCGCGGCTCCTTGACGATGTCGTCGATCAGCATACCCGCCGGCGACCACGAGGATATCCGCGGCTCGTCGTTGAAGACCAGCCAATTCGATAGATCGTCCCGGTGGGGACCATCGGAAGGATATATTTTGAAATGCAACAGGTTATTACCTACCGAGCTCAGCTCGCTCTTCTTTCTAATGCTACCGCTTCCATGACGATAGTCCAGTCCCTGTGTGCCTTGTACTTGTATGATCACGGGTCGATTGCCCACCGCCAGGTCCAGCCCCTGTCCCACGTAGGTGAGAAGCCAGAACATGCAAACCGCCATTTTACAAATCATTAACGTTTCAAGTCGTTTTTCTCTATTTCGTCTTTCTTTTCTTTCTCTCTTCCTCTCTTTTCCTTTTTTCTCCCTTATTCTCTCTTTTACCCCTTCTAACTTTTTCTATCTGTCTATATATATATATATATATATATATGTATATATATATATATCTCTACGTATATATTTCTCTTTCTCTTTCTTCTTCCTTCTCTACCACCACTTTTGACGCACCCGATTATACGGCTGGGCGTGGTGTTATAATTGACCTAAATGAACAGCAATGATGCTCTTTTCTCTTTTGTGTTTTCTTATTCGCTCTCTTTAGCTGCTTACTACTCACTGCCAGTCTAAAGGCACGTCTGTAGCAACTCTGGATTAGGCCGACTTTTCGTTTGAACTTGCGGTAGGTACACTAGGAAGTTGAGGATGGAATGTACGTGTATATATGTATGCGTGTGTGTGTATGCGTATATGTGTATGTATGTGTATGGATATGTGTATATGTATGTGTGTAAGGTGGGCGGGAGATATGGGGCGGTCGATTGATATCGAGGGGGCGAGGAAGGGAAGGATAAACTTGATAAAAAATCACGAGCGGCGATATGTTACGACACAACGACGATTATTGCATAGAAAACGCAACGGTGCTACGCGTGCAATTGCATCGACTGCAATCTGCCTAGCATGCTCCAATCGGGGACCACGGATTCCGTCGCAGGAGACCCGAGAAGTACGAGCCTCCCTCTCTTTCTTTCTCTCTTTCTCCCCCTCTCCCTCCCTTTTTCTCTGTTTCTATCGAGGATAAGTCGCCGACTCGAGCGCACGGTGTATCACGTTTGACATTTGATTGCGTTATGCTCGCTCTTCTAATCGATACGCTTCACTTTCGGTAGTCCATGATAGTAGCCGCGACCTTGGCTTTCTCTTCGTGATAAAGCGCACACGTCCTGTACCGACCGTCCTGAAATCAGGTCGTTAATAGAGAATAACGTGCGATATCCTATAACCAGTGAGTGCCAGGAACACAAAAAGATTTGTGGTGGTTTTTTTTTTTAATTTTCTTTTATTTATCTATTTTACTTTTGGTTTTATTTTTTTTTTCTCAGGATATTCAACAGAAGTGCTGCGACGTGTGGAGGTGGTTATCGGAGGTGCTCATCGTGCGTGCTCATAGATGCGTATAAGGTGCTCGAGTGTGGACAACATTTAAATCAATCGATGGTGCCACTCATGTTAAACGCCCGCGATCGTTTCGCGTTTCGCCAATATAAATCTACCATCTCTCCGAGAGAGACAACCCTCTCCCTCGACGTTGCTTCATCCGCTTACCTTGCCTTTCTTGCCCTTCTCTCTATCACTTTCTCTATCTCTCTCTTTCTTCCTTCCTTCCTCTCTCTTTGCTCTTTCACTCGGCCTACCCTCGCTTTTCCGTTTCCTCTCTGTGTCGTACGTTCCTAACTTCCCTTCCACCTCACGTATCGAACAAACGTCCCGGATATCGTTCGTTTCCACGAAGCGGAAATCAAGCTACGACGCCCCGACGGCGATCGCGATTACGGTAATGATCATCCCCCGCGATGCGTCCCCGTGTAAATAACCGCGCCTATCTAACTTTCGCTCGAGAGAGAGAGAGACGCGATCGTGCGCGCAAGTGTCGGCGAGATAAGCCGCGTACGTGACGCTGCAAAGTCATTTTCGCGGAGCGTGCCATTACGGAGCGGATCTATTTGAAACTACCAACGCGAAATTTGCGGGCGGCTACCCGATTCCTTCCAGCTTTTACGTTTCTGTCGAACACTAGGATCCGATTCACGTACTTGACCCAAATTTCGTTTGAATTGATTTCGGTCTCGGTGATAGACTCAAATGTCGATACCCACTCGGTCCACTAGTCGCCCCAAGTATTTTTTTTCCCCCAAAATTTCGTACGGCTATAAAAATCTATGAATGGAGTTTAAAAGCTCTCAACCGATTCTAACTGTTACTATAAACGCAACGATTTTTTTTTGTACGATTCATGACACACTCGACGCTGAATTTGATTTGCGTCCCTCTGATGAAAGAAAATCTTTCGCGATTGAAAACACAATTTTTTTCACGTAGATACTAGAACTCGAGCGTTGACATGCAATTTTGCGTTACAAACTATCGAATAAGCAAAACGACGGACTCGCGATTGCATCAGTAGACGAAACGAGTAACCTTCATCGAAGTAACTTTACTATGTCGATTCAAGTCACGAAGATTCTTTCGGGTCGGTTTCTAAAACCTGCGTCGTTGCGCAAAAAGGATTCAGCCGCGTACGATACGCGCCGCGACCGTCCCGCCGCGACGTAACTCGCGCGAGCGGAATCGACACGCAGGACGCGACGATCCTCGCGGAATATCGGGCCCGAGTAACGGATTCGATAATCTGGCCGTACGACGATGACAGGGTGACATAATGTGGATAGCAGTGTAGTATGTAGGTCGGTCATATCAACAGGTGCCCCGAAAAACGTTCAAAAAGCAAAGGCTTGCCGTGGCAGAGAGCGGTGCGCGTTTGTCGGTGCGAGACGCGGGAGTAGGCGGAGTACACGAGCGTGTATTGCGACAGAGGTACACAGGGTGTGTTAGAACAAAGGCAGAGAAAATAAAGGTACACCGATATATATATATATATGTATATATATATATATGTATAGTGAGGATGCCCGGGCGCGAGAGACGCCCGGAGAGTTACAGACAGAGATTACGGTTCATCGATAGGAGGTGCAGTGTTACGCGGGGCATTACGTGGGATAATACTTGCTTCTTGATCTCTCGCCGCCGCGCGCCTGCCGTGCCTGCGTTTTCCCTCCGAGCTTTCGGATCTCCGATCTCCGGCCTCTTTTCTTCCCTCGACCCTCCGCGTCGCGTCGCGCCGTTCCGTGGTGCCGCTTCTCGACCTAATCCTCTCTCTCTCTCTCCCTCTCTCTCTTTCTCTCTCTCCCTTTCTTGTCCTTTCTATCTCTTTTTTTCTCTTCCCTCCTTTCCTTTCTTTTTCCTTTCTCTCTTTCTTTCACCTTTTATATCTTCCCTCTTCTCTCTTTTATCTTTGTTTCTCGCCCAACTTTTCTTTATTTCTTCCGCGCGATCCCGCGATATCGCTAGTACGATGTACGATGTCTTCTCGCCTTCAAGCACCTAGCGATCTTCTCTCGCTTATGTCCTTGGATGAAAGGGATGTTGTCCGATGCGTTCGGTCCTCTTTGGCACGCGGCCACGCTGTTTTTTTTTCTTTTTACTGCTCCGCTCTGCTCAGCGGACACCCGGGGGTCTGGCTGAAACTACAGTTCCGGCGACGTTCGTCGTGCATCACATGCTACACCTCTTGGTCTTCTGCTCGATCGTCGCGCGCCACAGAGAGACCTATGCTTGCCTCGATAACAGCACCCTGGCAGCACCCCGTACGATCATACCACGTACGACGTCGTCCGATTACACACGGTAGGGTGCGATTCATTCACTGACATCTTCGTCGCTCGCCACGCTCCGCTTCCGTATGGCCGTTCATATATGGGCGTGTGAGCCGTGCGCGCGCGCGCGCGCGCACTCTTTCTCTCTCTCTCGTCCGTTCGCTAGCGCTTGAATGTACGTACGTGCGTGAATGCGTACGTGTGATGCGTGTGGTGTCTAACGTTTATATACCAAAGGTACGGATCGGAATCACCGCGATGTCACCGCGAAGTCACCGGGGACAAATCTTCCAGGTTGTTTTAATGACTCGTACTAGCGCAGTTACGCTCCCCCTTCCGTCACACTTCCCACCCTCGCTTCTTTTCTCCCTTTCTCTCTCTCTCTCTCTCTTTCTTCTTTCTCCGTTCTGTAGGCCTGTAACACCGGTCTTTTACGATGATGTCTGGTCTACGACTATAATCGCGCGGCGTATTTCAAAGGTTAAAGGCTGTTTCCCGCGGTTGCCCGACTTCCCGTGCTGACGTCGCCGACGATCTCGACCGGCCGCGCCGGTGTTCCATTGAGCGACGAGAAACGTTCCCTCTCTCTCTCTCTCTCTCTCTTTCTTCCTTTGCTCTTTCTCTCTGTCTCTCTCTAGCCCTTTCTCTCCCTCTCTTGCTCTCTCCCACGATGCGTAACTCTTTCCGCTCACCCGACCTCGGCACGTCGCGCGATAGCACCGCTTCTCGTTGCTGTACACCCCCTCGCGAACGCCGTCGCTGACGCGCTTGCACTGGAGGAGATCCTCGCGAGGGTGCCGTGCGACGAGTGGCCGACTCGCCCCTTTTCTTCACGGCGCGGAAGTAGGTGCTCTCGACCGACGGGAAGCGACGACGGAATCGAATGGTGAGGAGGTTGCGGCCGTGGATGGTTGCTTTGTTGGTCGAAGGTCGAGGGATGTGGAGGATCGAAGGGTTGGGACGGTGGGTTACTTCGGTGAGTGAGCTGCCTGGCGCCCTCACCAGAACTAACTCCCACGCTGCGCGGCGAGGACCCGGCGCTTTAATACAACGCGCATTCTCCCGGCGTTACCCCTCCTCTCCGACGCCGGGGGTGAGCGACGACGACGGGGTGGCTTTCACCCCTTCTCGCGTCTCACCTGGCCTCGCCTCGCCTCGCCTCGCCTCGTCTCACCTCACCTCGCCACACGTCTCGCCTCTATCCCGGCCGACGCGCCCATGAACGGATTAAAGCTGCCGCGAGCCCTAAGCACCCCCGGACCGTACGCCCTGCGCTTTTATATGACGTTTCACAGCGATACGGTCAAAGGTGATGTGGCTATCACGAATGTCACCATCCTGTCCGCGATCTCGCCACTCGCGTATACGACAATTCAGTACTCATCGCAAATACGTGACGCCGCATTGTCGCCGGCTGACATTGTTCGTGACTCGTTCGAGCGTACTCATTCAGTCCCCTGATATAGCTCGAAACGAAAGATGCATGCGAAGTAGAAAAAGCATCAATTTTGCAGAGAAATGGTAATGTCTCGGAATTTATATACATCTGTGGAAATATCTGCAGTTTCGATGTTTTTCAGTCGGCGAGCTCTTTCTTCTCTCTATTAAAGTGGAGATCGCAGAATCAAGGGCTAGAATGAAGGATCCCGGTTCGACCTTCGCTATCCTGTAAAATCCATCCCTACCCGTTTTAGCCCGCCGGGC